GAAAATCAGCAAAGTCCACAGAGAAAATCAGTGATTTTAACTCACAGACCAAAGTCCACAGAGAAAATCAGTGATTTTAGCTCACAGACCAAAGTCCACAGAGAAAATCAATGATTTTAGCTCACAGACCAAAGTCTTTTTTTTTCATGTAATTTTGTAAAACTCAGTCATTTAAGGTTTAAGACAACATTTGAGTTTCATGAATGGAGGAGAACATGATTGTGTCAGCCAGTCTTTGAGCAAACTGATACAGATCTTGATTTTCTGGTACCTCCTCTCTTCTTCTGGACTTAAATGAAAGCCAATCCATGATGTCACAGGACAGAGCATCTGCAAAAATCTCCACCTCCATGCTTGGTTCTGTGACCACAGCCTCAGTGGACAGTGACTGCATCAGAAGTTCAATCATCTCTACGGAGCCGTCATGTTGCTCCTCCTCCTCCTCCTTTGGTGTTGGTGGAGGAGGTGACGGCAGAAAGACCTGGGCCAGGCCTCCTTTTAGCTTCCGAGAAAAGCTGCTTCTGCTCCTCTCTAGCTCAGGTAGAAGGGGAGTAGTAGGTGGTGCATCAGGGTAGTCCAGCGAACCCATCAGGGGCAGTCCTGAGTGGGTCAGGGGCAGCTGGTGCAGCTGGGGAACATCTGGAACCACATCTATGTTGGAGTTCAGAAATGTTTTTCCTTCTCCAAGTTTCTGGACAACACCAAAGGCCTCCTTCAGAGCCACTGCCATCACTGTGGAAGTCATCTTCTCAGCAAACATCTCTTTGCCTAGATCGGAGCCTGTCACTGTGGGTCCCACTGCTACCATCTCGTTTTTAAGAGTATGGATGATGTTCTCTGACATGTGGTGAGCAAACATCTTCAGAGTGTCCCCAGAGGTCCTTCTCCTGAGGCCTGGAGGAACGACTGTGTTCTCCAGACTGCGTTCTTGAATTGACTGCATATGATTCTGAAAAGAAAAAAATATATGAAAAAATAGAAAGTGGCAGAAGCAGACGTTCTTCTTTGATAACATCCAGATACTTCCAGGCTAAACTAGAGTTACACACATCTGGGCTCATCTTCAGGCTCTTCAGGACTGACTTCACTGCTAACATTCACTGAGCTCTGTGGCTCGTCTGCCTGTGGCATAATTTAAGATACTATCTGAGATGAAGTAATGCTATCTTTGAGTTGTTTTTCTGGGATGATTTTTATCTCTCTTTTATGACTGACTTTCTGACTTTCTAATCCTACTCCTAATCCAGATGAAGAATCACTTTTGGCTGTTGCCTTCAACGCAGCTGTAGTGCACACAGTGATTTCAGCAGAGTCTTTCTCTTCCTGACGCAACCCATTCTGGGATTTGGCGACTATGTCGAACCCATAACTTTCTGGTGGTTGGCAGGAGACCACTGCACCACGCAGGCCCCCTTAATCTTTAATCCTTATCCTTATGTAATCCATCTGACATGTCCAAGACAAACACTGTTAATGTCCCACATGGACAAAGACATGTTTCAGAGGTACAGAAACCCAACTGGGACATTTGACTTTTGTGACTTTCAGATTTGACTGAAGTTATAAAAGAGCAGTCTGGGGAATTTTAAGTAAAGTTCATCTGTTTAAAGATTTCTGTGGCCAGTCTGCTGTCCAAACATTCTTCAGACTCTCTTTCCCCCTCATATCTATATATTTTTGTAAGAATGCTTCAGTCTGTCATGTTTCCTTAAATGGTGATAAATTCCCTCCGCTCTCTGCTCAGTTTCTCTTATTTATTTATTTGGCAACGACAAAGATAAGGTGGAAAAATGAAGGTCCTAAAAAGAAAATAAAGTCTGATAAAGGCTGCTGTGATGGAAAAAAGAGAAAGACAGGGGGAAGTTGTGACCACAGTCAGTCACTACAGGAAGTGACAGTGAGACAGACTTCACTCACAGAAATGAGGTTCAGCTTTGTTGATGTGCATCCAATCACAGAACATGCATACAGTTGAAATCGTTTTTTCTACAAATTGGGTGAAACTAATAAAATATTACAATCTTTGTATGGTGTATAGCATATATTTGGTTTAGGCTTTAAACGTCTTCACAGTTCATGCCAAATTGTACGCTTTAAATTTAATATATTTGACATTTACTGTTGCACATGCAAACAGCACATGGATAGGCCAAAGGAAACTTTTTCCATCAGAAATAATTTACATATAGGCTATTAAACACTTTTACATACAAAACATAGTTTGACTTAGGGATAAAATTCAGTTAGAGAAATTTAAAAATAAAAAGTTAAACATCAGAGACAGCGACTTACTCAATTCAGTGACTGTGATAGAGATGATGCTGAGGATGAAATGAGTTGAGGCGGAAGTGGAGTGAACATCGCACTTCCTCTCGCCCCCTCTCTCTTTCTCTCTCTCTCTCTCTCTCTTTGTGTGTATGTGTGTTATTATTAGTACCAGTGATGAGAACAGGAAAAAGACATCAACAATGTCTAACATCAACACTGTCTGAAGTTTGTTGAATAAAAATGTATTTATAATATTTATTTGACATAAAATAAAAAAGTATGAATATTCACAACTAAAAAGTTGATTTTATTCTCCTGACCCCGGGTTATCTTAACCTTTTCACTGTTTTCTTGTTTAACTTTAAACAGTTATTTCACCAACACAGGCCCCTTCCTTGACGAAAGAAGGAGGCCAAATACTTGGTTTAAGATCGACTTTATTTAACAAAAAGAATGGTCTTGCTAGTAAAATGTGTATTGCAATATTTTCAAGTTGTAAACTCCCGAATAAATGAAGCTAAAAATGTTTCTGACGTTTCTGTTGCTAACTTAGGGCACCCTCTAGTGTATATTAGAGGTATTATGAATAGACTTACTTTAATGCAATTATTATATATTAAATACATTTAAATGAGCTGTGATTGTAGAATTAAAGGGAGGAATGTAAGCCAACGCTTGTAAAAACTAACATTTGAAAGTTTCCGTTATGTTATTGTTTACATTATTTTGAAAAGCTCAGAAATGCTAAATGTTCTTTCGTTCGCTAACTTAAAGAAGGAAACTCGATTTCCGGTTCCGTGACTGAAAAATGTCCGTCCTATAGAACAATTTTACGATTGCTAACGCGAGGCAGTTCTAACCTGCACTTAAGTGATGCTAGTACCACATCAAAAACAAAAAGGTCGATGATACATTTTTCCTAAATTGTATTGTTTTTTGTTAAATGTAGCGAGGAAAAACTTGACTTCACATCCATCCGATTCAGGGGATTGTTTATGTTGTAACAACGGAGTTCCATCCCGGGCTTTGCTCGTTTTCTTATTTTCGTCAACATAGGCGAAATAGTTTTATTTTTTCGGTATAACTGTATACATTTGTACATATTAAATGAGTCGCGGAGGAGAAGCTGACGAGGACGGAGGTGTTAAAAGAAGAGTTGCCTATGTTTTTAGCTCGGAGTTCATTCAAAAATGCGACAGTTTGTCCAAAGTACCGAACAGGGTGAGTGAATTAGAACGACTGAAATGATTCATTTGTGAACAGTTTACACTGTGCGGTCATCGTTAAACATCGCAAAAAGAACACACTGACACGTTAACAACTAGTAAGACTCTCGTTCATTTTTTAAAAGTCACTGTTTCTGCTTTTCTGCTTGTTTTCTGCTTTCCAGGCCAGTATGGTCCACTCGTTGATAGAAGCCTATGGTCTGCTGGAACACATGATGTGAGCTGCTGTTCTGATTGTGTCTTCTCAGCCACAGTAATTACCTTAACTGAACAGCGATTCTTCTAAAGAATTTGTTGCTGTGACTTAGATATGATACTGTTGTCGAAAAAGATTCAACGAGATTAGAAAAGACCAGACAAACTGGATTCAGGAACTTAATAGTACATCTAAGTCTTTGGTTATTTTTTAATTAAGAATCAGCCTACACAATTCTGCTCACATGGGTCATAATTCATTTTACAACCAACACTTGAACTCCTCTCTTCTTCAGGGTTATACAGCCTCAGCTGGCCTCCCTGGAGGAAATGGCCAAGTTTCACACAGACTCGTACCTGGAGCATCTTCACAAAATCAGTCAGGACGGAGATAACGATGACCCACAGTCGACTGATTTCGGCCTGGGTAAGAAATTAAACAAAAAAAAAACAAACATTAAAAGAACATCCTAAATACAGCATTACATTTGTTTCACTGCCACATGTACTGTATATTTACATAGTTATAGTTATACAACAGTTTTCTTTTAAAATTACATTTAATATAACTACAGTTTTTATCCATTTTTAAAATAAGCTTAAAAAGACTTTTTAGCTTAAAATAGAAGACATTTGTAAAAAAAAGTGGAATAAAAATGTAGTGTTTCGTTCACCGCCAGCAGGGGGCAGTATATCATCGGTTTAAACAATATTTCTTGTGTTTTTTTCTTGTGTGCGAATTGAAGGTGGATGTATGTTATGCAGTATGTGTGGTTACTGTTTGTCCTGTCACACTCAAAGATGACTCTTCATTTAGTCTGGGTTTATATTGAACTTTCAGTCACTTTGTTTCACTTGTTAAAGCTGGAAAATCAATTACAAACGTGACATTTTTGTACGTGTCCCATTTGGTCTAGGTTATGACTGTCCAGTAGTGGAGGGAATATATGAGTACGCAGCTTCAGTGGGTGGAGCCACACTGACTGCAGCTCAGTGTCTGCTGGAGGACAAATGTGATGTGGCCCTGAACTGGGCTGGAGGCTGGCACCACGCTAAGAAGTAAGAATGAAGAAGAAGAAGGAGAAGTGTGTTCCGATAATATTCTGTGAAAAAATAAACTCAGTCTCCTGTGTGTGATCCTGCAGAGACCAGGCCTCGGGGTTTTGTTATGTAAACGATGCTGTACTGGGAATCCTCAAACTGAGAGAGAAATTTGATCGCGTTCTCTATGTTGACGTTGACCTTCATCATGGTGATGGTACAAAGTCAAACACCTACACCCACAATTTCTCAGTACGTGCTTCAAGAAAACGGTTTAGTTGGAGTTCTCCTAAATCGTTTGTTTGGATTTTCTTTGTTTCTTGTTTGCAGGTGTGGAAGACGCCTTCAGCTTCACCTCCAAAGTCATGACTGTCTCTCTGCATAAATTCTCACCTGGATTCTTCCCAGGTTAGAAACACAGCTAGATACCACAGACATTTTCATCAAAACACTGACGTTTGTACACCACTCACTTTCATGTATGTAAATCAGTGATTTTAGCTCACAGACCAGAGTCTCTCTTTGTGAAGCTATATAAATGCAGCAGTGTCGCATCTCATGATGTAAAATTATTGATTTTCTCTAAGAACTTTGGTGTGAAAGAATGAGTCTAATAAAGTGTCCTGCTGCAGGTACAGGTGATGTGTGTGACACTGGTCTGGGTAAAGGTCGATGGTACGCCGTCAATGTCCCTTTAGAGGATGGGATCAAAGACGACAGATACTACCAGATCTTTAGCAGGTACACACTAATATTTTCAGCTTCAGTTTTACCTCAGATAGTTTCTGTGTTGACATTTTGTCCTCTGACGTTTACATAAACCAACTTTTCCAAATGCTTTTTCTTCTCTTTGGTCAGTGTGATGCAAGACGTGCGAGCCCAGTTCAACCCATTGGCTGTGGTTATGCAGCTCGGTGCCGACACTATGGCGGGCGACCCCATGTGTTCCTTCAACATGACCCCAGTGGGTGTGGCCAGGTGTCTGAGCTCCGTTCTGCAGTGGAAGCTGCCCACGCTGCTGCTGGGAGGAGGTACAGCTGAGAATGCTTATCATAAGTTTATGGCTAACCTTTAGCTGTTGAAGCTAACTCCTAACTCATGTTCCTAACGTTCACTGACTGAATGTTAAATATTAAATGTCTACCTTTGTTTTGTTTTTGTTTTTTTCTTTTTTAGAATACTACAAATATTTGTTGTTTATATAAATTATATATTTTCTAGCTGCTTTATTTTAGCTGTCAATGCTATAATGTCCTGAAAGGTCATAAATTGGTGCCTTGAAAGTGCTTGAATTTGATCCTGGATCAAATTCAAGCTGACATAACCCTCCGTTTTCTCACTCATGCTCCTCCATCAACACGTAAATGCATAATAAATATAATGAAATTTAAATCTCCCTGACACACACACACACACACACTTGCTGCTGTGTTCCAGACCTCTTCAGCCCTGGACCAGATGATAGCTACTAATTATTCGACACAATGAAGTCTTTTTGCTTCACTACAAACCCACCTCTCTTCCTTCCTCTGACTCTCCCTCTGTCCTACATACTTTCTCTCCTTACTTCACTCACTCCAGTTTTCTCTGTGTGTAATGCAGAGAGGAGAACTTTACTGAAGTGACTTCACATCAGTGATTTGTATTGCTTCATACAGACATCCATAGAGAAAATCAGTGATTTTAGCTCACGGTGACACAGCAGTTGTTGATCCATCCCTTTAGTTCAAATGTGTTCATTTGTGACTGTACTGGTGGAAGTCCTTCATTCTGATTAAATCACTGATTTTATATATTGAGTTTGGTGTGAATGAGAAAAATGTTTCCCTTTCATTTCAAGTCAAGTCACCTTTATTGTCAAATATACCATACATGCCCGACAAAAAGCACAAATTAAATTTCTGTCCTCTCGGAGACAATAAAAGTCATTTAAATATAGCTATAAAAAACAAACAAAAAATATAAATAAATAAAGTATAGTCATCAATAAAAAACAAACAGGCCTATTACAAATAATGTGAGGTAGTGCAGAAAATTGGAAATAAACAGATGAAGTAGGTAATTTCCTTTTTATCAAAGTCTGACAGTCAGAGAAGAATGTTGATGTGAAGTCCTAAATTATTTTTAGAAAATTCAAAATGTTTTAATTAATGTTTTCTATTCTGTGTGTGTGAATTAGGAGGCTATCATCTGGCTAACACAGCTCGCTGCTGGACCTTTCTGACTGCTGCTGTGCTGGGAAAAACTCTGTCCTCTGAGATACCAGACCACGAGGTTAGAACACACACACACACACACACACACACACACACACACGGTCCTGTGTTCTCCCTCTGCTGCTGAGTCACTCAGAATAATCAAAGAACCCCCACCCTACCCCACTTCTCCTGCGCTCCCTACTCTCTCTTCTGCTCCTCTTTCTTTCCTCCTCCTCAATGAGGCTTATTGTCTCCAGGTGAGTCACAGATTGTGGACAATTCTCCACTGTCTGCTGCAGCTTCGTCTTTCCTCCATCTGATGTCCTCTGTTCTCCTCTCCTCCTCTTCCATCATCTGTCCTCTCTGGCTTCATCCTTGGCTTTTTTCGTCTCCACTTTTTACTCCTTAACCTTCAGAGCTTGTCGTACCTCCCATCTCTTTTCCGTCTCTATTCCATTTCTTCTCCCTGTTTTACTTGTTACCTTAGTCTGTCTTTCTAATCTGTCCAATTCTGTCTCTTTGGTCTCCTCTGTCCTCATCAGTGGACCATCTGTCCCTCCTGTTGTATTCACAAAGAATCTCTTTCTCCAGACCATAACTAGTTCAAATGCAATGAATAGATGTGTGCATCTGTGTGTGTGTGTGTGTGTGTGTGTAAGTGATGTGATGAAGGTTTCTCTTGTTTCTCCTCGTCTGCGTCCACACTGGCCCTAAGTGACCTTTGACCTCATTAAGCACCACTTTGTGAAAACAAAGAGAGTCAGGGTGAGTATATGAGCCAGAGAGCAGCTGCTGCAGATGATGGAGAGAACACACACACACACACACGCACGCATGTTTTTATAGTCAACGGGTGTTTATTTAAATCTCAGAACAACCCGACAGGTGTGTGTTTGTGTGTGTTGTACACAGTAAGAGGGCCATTTATTCATGATGACCAAGCAAGTCCTGAGTTCCAGCAACAGCAGGAACAATAAGTACCTTTGTACCTGTGTGTGAGTCTGCATCAGGCATGTGTGTGTGTGTGTGTGTGTGACTTTGTGTAATCTTTTTTATATAAGAAGAATTTTGAAGGAATAAAGAAAATGAAATTGAACAACAACAATCAAATATAAATACATACAGTATATCTGTCAAACATAAACTATATGGATAACCTCAACAAAGTAAATGCTACTGTAGGTATTAAACAGTTGGTCCATGTTAGTCTACAGTTGGTCCATGTTAGTCTGCAGTTAGTCCATAGTTAGTCTACAGTTGGTATATAGTTAGTCTACAGTTGGTATATAGTTAGTCTACAGTTGGTATATAGTTAGTCTACAGTTGGTAGTCTACAGTTGGTACATAGTTAGTCTACAGTTGGTATATAGTTAGTCTACAGTTAGTCCATAGTTAGTCTGAAGTTAGTCTGTTGTGTGTGTGTGTGTGTGACTTTGTGTAATCTTTTTTATATAAGAAGAATTTTGAAGGAATAAAGAAAATGAAATAACAACAACAATCAAATATAAATACATACAGTATATCTGTCAAACATAAACTATATGGATAACCTCAACAAAGTAAATGCTACTGTAGGTATTAAACAGTTGGTCTATGTTAGTCTACAGTTGGTCCATGTTAGTCTGCAGTTGGTCCATGTTAGTCTACAGTTGGTCCAAGTTAGTCTACAGTTTACACATAGTTAGTCTACAGTTGGTCCATAGTTAGTCTACAGTTGGTATATAGTTAGTCTACAGTTGGTATATAGTTAGTCTGCAGTTTGTCCATAGTTAGTCTGAAGTTAGTCTGTAGTTAGTCCATAGTTAGTCTGCAGTTAGTCCATAGTTAGTCTGCAGTTAGTCCATAGTTAGTCTGCAGTTAGTCCATAGTTAGTCTGCAGTTAGTCCATAGTTAGTCTGCAGTTAGTCCATAGTTAGTCTGCAGTTAGTCTGCAGGTGGTCCACAGTTAGTCTACACATAGTTAGTCTACAGTTGGTCCACAGTTAGTCTACACATAGTTAGTCTACAGTTGGTCCATAGTTAGTCTACAGTTGGTCCACAGTTAGTCTACAGTTCTTTAATTCCTTCTAAAGATGAATAATGTTCCATCCACCCACAGTCCATCCACAGTCAGCCTACAGTTTCACATGTGCTAATAATAGTCATGGTCTGAAACTTAGACATCAGTCAGAACAACAATAGTGAGACGTTGTTCCAGTCCAGCAGATAACAAACAATGGCTGTGGTTTCTCCACATTCATCATAGAAACACAGTTGTCCTGACTCCACCTTCTCTGCCATCACTCATGTTGTGTGTTATCATGAGCTGATGTCACACCTTGACCCTGTCATCATGTGACACTGTTGGAGCCAGGCTGAAGACACACACACACACACACAGCTTAGAATATCTACACCAACGTTTCACTGAGAACCCAGGGGGACAGGGGACAGAACATCACTGGTGTTTACACTCTTCTGTTCTGGTTCCATCATGTCCTGCAGCCGCAGAACAAATGTCCCTTGACATTACATTTTATTTTTTAGAAAACACCATTGGTTATTTTTAGTTTCAACTTTCCTCCAGGTTCAACATCTGACGTGTTTCTAGCCTAGCTCTTAGCTTTATTCTTGACTGACCTTTAGCTTTTTTGTAGGGACAATATGTTTAGATTTAATATCTGTTTTAGGAGATCTTATCTTTGTGACGTTCCTTTAGCTTGAGCTTTGTGAACCACGTTCTCTTGTCTTCTTGGCTAACCTTTAGCCTTTCAGTGGGAACTTTTGAAGAGATCTCCTGATATAGTTGGTATCCATGACAGCTGGGAATGAGTTTTATTTATTTATTCATCAGAAGACACGTGACAGTCGATTCAAAACAAACCCTCTCAGCTGTGTTGTTGGAGAGCAGAGGTTTGGGCTCCAGCCAGAGTCGTCATCTGTATTCGTTTCATCTCTTCAACCTGTGGAGTCTGGACCACTTTGTTGTTCTGGGTCATTTCCCAGCGGTTGAATTCTTTCCAGCAGAGCTGTGGTTTTGTACAAAACAAAATACGGACCCAAACTTCCTGATGCCGCTGCTCTGGTGGGAAAAACAGTCTACCTCCCATCTTAAATAACAATCGTCTTTCTCCGCTCGGTGCAGCGTGAGGAGAAAAGTCACATTTCTGATGTGAAAACATGACTTTATCAAACCTGAGTGTCAAATGTCCTGTCAGGCTTCCGTTGTTTTCAAAGTATGTCTGTTCCATGACAAAGCTGCATCAGTGTCGTAGGATTACAGATCAGGCAGTGGGGAAGTGTCCGCCCCTTCACTTCCCTTTCCTGTCTGCACTCACTTCCTGTCCGTTCTCTCTCTGTGGTCACAGAATCGCTGGCTCCAGAGCAGCAGCAATAATCACAGGAAGTGTGAAAAAGGTTGTGGTGTTGGATTAACTCTGTGAACACCTGGATCTTCTCTGGGGATCATTCTTCACTCTGACCACTGTAGAGGCAGTAGTTATTGGGAGGGAATCCACAGTGACACTGTTACATTCACCGTTAGACTCTCACTATCAGTCATTAGTTTCCCATCAGTGGCGAAACAGATTTTCGTGGTTGAGAAGCAGTTTGGAACACCTCAGGTCTCGTTAGGCAGAGATTACAGATTCAGTTCAGAGATCAGCTGATTTCTGGTGTGATTTTTTTTTTGTCATCATCCTGCATGAAAACAAACACACCAACACACAGAGTGTGTCTCTGCGTCATGGTCAATGATCCGGAAAGTTTGGCTGATTGAAGATAAATTCAACTCTGTCCTCGTCTTCCTCAGTTTAACACAGTGGTTCTTAACTTTTTTCTACTCTGTACCACCTGAGAAAACATTGATCTCTCTGAGTACCACCATGATGACCAACATTAGAATTCCCCTTCTCCTTTCACATTCAATTTGCAAGTGATCTCATGATTCTGTGCTGCCTGTGCTTACGTGAGCAACAGACTTGCATTGCAGCAAAGAACAAGTAAATAAATAAAGTCCAGACATCCTGTTTCATAATCTTTCATAATAGTTACACAGTTTTTCTAAATGTTGTATTAACTGTGCATGGTATTTTTCAGATTTATTTAGTTAAAAATGTAAATGTGAAAATATGAATTTTCCTCATGTACCACTAGAGGGCGCGTACCACAGTTTGAGAACCACTGGTTTAACACATAATTCAGGACAAAATGAAATGAAAGATTGTAGCTGTAGCTCTCCACGGTCAGCCCAGGACAAACACCGTGTATGTGAGTGTGTTGTTGTACAGCAGGACACGGGTCAGTGGGTTCAGGAGAGTCCACGTACAGTCATGTACACAGTGTTTAACTTTGAGTTTAACTCTTTGTTTGACTTGGTGTTAAACTGTTTTATGTCTAAGTTCAACCATGTGTTGACCTCTGTTTAGGTCTGCATTTCCTGTTTCTGTGAGTGTGATGAACGTCCTCCTCAGCTGTTCAACAAACAAAAAAACCCCTTTTCTGACTGTTTCTGTCCACCTTGATTTTTCACTCATATTTTCTCTTTGTGTTTCCAACCAACGTTCTTTGCTTTAAATCCCCATCAGTCAACAGGATGGTGTGTGTCTGTATGTTGGTACAGTAACAACAGGCTGCTGTTGTGGTGATGATCTGTCCTGTTGTCTTGTGTCAGTTTTTCACAGAATACGGGCCAGACTATTCTCTGGAGATCAGTCCCAGCTGTAGACCTGACCGGAACGATTCCAAACACCTGCAGCAGCTCCTGAGCACCATCAGAGGTCAGTAGAGACGTCACTTTGACTGGCCTCCTGATTAAAAATACAGTGAAAGAAGGAGCAAATGTTCAAGTCAGAAGCAGCAAGCATCTCTAACTGAAAACAGTTGGAAGGAGATCAGAAAATCTTCTCCTTCCTCTTCCTGTCTCTTCGTGTCCTCTATTAACTACTGACTACTGCTCTGGTTCAATCTGGCTCCATCCGTTCCTTCATGTGTAAACTCATCTCCGTGGTGACCTCCTGAGGTCTCCTGCTGCCCGTCTGACAGACCTCAGTTCTGTGCAGAACAAACCTCAGAGAACAAAGTACTGGGTGAAGAGTTGAAATTTAAAAACCCAGAAACTGAGCTGAAGTTCAGTCTCAGGACAGGGGGGGAAATTGACACAGTGAGTGTTTGCAACCATCACAGGCTGCCACAGGAGGCGCCACATGGGATGTGGTGATTCCTCTGGGAATCAAACCCAGGACTCTCTGCTCTCTGCTTAAAAGGCAGGCGTTCTAACCGCTGCCACTAGGGAACCACTGACACTAGGTCAGAACATCAACATCACACACACTGAGTTAGAACATCAACATCCTGTCATCCTGTCTGCTCTGTGTTAGATATGGAGACTGTGGTGTGGAGACATGTTCACGTCAGAGGAGAAGAAACACCAGCTTCTCTGTTCTCCATCAGAAAGACACAGAGAAACATTAACCCACAATTGTTAGAACTAACGATATTTGATCCCTCAAGAAGCCATAATATATTTCTTTGTGTCTTTTGGTGAGGTCTGTATGTTTGATATGGTTAGAACTCACTCTCCCACTCCAAAGTCCATAGAGAAAATCAGTGATTTTAGCTCACAGACCAAAGTC